CAGTCACACAGTATCATGGGAGGTATCAGGAGACAAGATGAAGACTCAGAATCTGTTGTCCCTGATCCTCTGTGTCACCACAAGAAATCCTGGACAGACACGTCTAGGTGCTTGTGAGTGTTGAAGAATGGGTGAGCAACTGAAATGTGTCTTGTTTAAACTGAGCTTTGTCTTCCCCTTCTACACAGTCTCACTCTTGAGTTTTGCCACAGCTCTGTGCTCTGTCCACCACTTTTGCCTGTTAGCCCCTGGGGAGAAGTTCCTCTTCTGACAACAGGAGTTAACCAAAGTGCCAGCTCTCACATTTGGGATGACTAGTCTGTCATCTTCCCTGGGAGGGTGGTGCAGCCAAGCCACAGGTCTCCACAGAGGTGGGGACTGCCGGCTGTGGATGCTGCCAAGACACAGCCAAAGCCATGGCCCACCTAATCTAGTGCTGGCATCAGTCCAGCTGTGAGTCAGAGGTTGGACTGGAGACTCCACAGGGCCATTCTAACCAGCACTTCTAGGAGTCTAAGATGACTCTACAACTGCTCAAAACTATCCATCAGATGTTGTTTGGAGAGTGTAAATTACATTAATAATATAGGATAGCTACTGCACTACCTTTATTCCCAAAGATACTCTGGACTTTTGCTTCTTTGTAGTCTTCTCATTTGTGTAGCCACCCAAATGTTTATAGGAGGTGACTGCAGCTTCCTTGGTTACCAGCTGCATTAACAGCTGAATTTGGCGGTTGTGAGCTCTTTCTCTTCAGGGACTTGTGTCTAACAAATGCTGAAAGTAGTTCAAGACCAATTCCATCTGAACAGATTGCTCATTTTTCATATACTAGAAAAAAATGGTAACAACTGCAAAGGCCAATAATGTAGGTAAAACCATTAAGTGATGCATTCCTGCTTTTTATCATTGGTAGGACAAGTTCATGTGAGTAAAAGATGTGCATCATATTTGTACTACACTTGTACACAGAGCTCTCCCAATCTTTACACCACCGAGCTATATCTTGTGCAAGAAAACGCCACTTGGATTTGCCATGGATAGATATATATTCATAAAGCAATGCCCTCCCACATCCGGCCCCCTCAAAAATCATTTGTAAAAAAATAATCTTTCCAGCCAAAGATTTTACCTGCAAGTCCAAATTTCAAGTTGGGAATACTTGAACAACAACCCAGGGAGCTCTTGTTTTGCAAGGACCTGCCTCCTCACCACTGTGTGGTGTTCCTGCCAAGACACATCCTGTGTGCCCTCATGCACACAGGGGACCAAAAGTAACACAGGACGTGTAGTCCAAGCAGAGTCCAAGCACCCTGAGAAGAGAATGGGAGCATGGGGCCGGCAATCTCCATGGCCTGTGAAACACTGAGCACCATGAGAGAACTGAATTGTTTTGCTCTGTGGCCAGAAGATTCATGGTTTGGGATTTCTCCTAAGAACAAAATATTTTCTATGGAAAAAATAGCATTGGCATTGGCTAGAACTTGCATGACTGTAGAAAGGAGGCAGAACACCAACTTCCTGGTGCACCCAGGACATGCCTACATGATGTGCTGTTGGTCAGTACATTGCAAGAACTGAATGAACTGGGACAGTGATGAAAATCTTGACAGTGTTCTGCACCCTTGAATCACTCCCATGACTATAGAGAAGGACTTAATGCACAAACCTGTTTGCTTTCAACTAGCCACAGAAATGCCTGTGGTTCAGTTTGGCTTCATATGAGTGGCTGTCTCCTTTAATCAACCTAAAGCAGAGTGGAATGAGCATCATTGCATTTTAAAACAAGCATTTGTTTTGCTTTTTTACTGGTCACTCACTTTTGACAGAAGAGATTGTATCAGAAGACAGTGCTGCTTTCCAAGACCCACCTGCGTTATGGAGGGAACAGCTGGAAATGGATGGCGTTCTCAGCATCAGCATTGTCCCAAAACTTGAGGTCTAAATATATTCTGCGTTTTGTTTCTAAGCAACTGGGGACAACTGAAGCATTAAGTATGTTTGCAGTCACCTGGGATGTTTCCATTTTTCTTCATTATTGAGGGCACTTTGGAAATGGAAAGGGCCCAATTTGCTTTCAAACATGCTGTGCAGCAGTACTGACAGAGGTTGGCTGATGACCAGGCTTGGGACCCCCATCACCACCACCTCAGCTGGCCCAGAGCTTCTCACTCACATCTGTTTTCAAATAGGCTGGCTAGTCATCTGGAGGTATCCCTCTCTGTCTGCTGACTATAGAGGAGCCTAAGAGAAGATTTTAGAGCAGCAGTCTAATTCCTAGATGCCTGAAGTGAGGTCAGGTAGATCCAAGCTCCCAGGAATGGCCTAGAACACTGTGTCCTGGCCTGACACCTGAGCTAGTGCTCCATTGGCAGACTAGTCCCAGTGGCAGGCAAACACACCCCCAGGTAAAGGGAGAACCTGTTTAGGAAGATTCACACAAGATGTCCTGCCTGTTGTAACCTCACAATCACACACTTGCATGCACACCCATAAACCCACACACAACAGTCTCTGCTTCTAAAAATAAATGGGGTGGATTTTGCATCCTGGTCAGTGCTGAGGTAAGGTCCAGGGAGACCAGGGCACTCTGTTTAGGAGAGGTTGGAGCTGACTACCTGCTCTTATCTCCACACTGATGGAGAATTATAAACAGGTGGCTCAGGGAGGTTGCGGCAAACCAAATGTCAATGGCATGAAGGAGAAAAGATCGGAAAACTTGACCCATTTGCTCTGGCATTTCCTTCTGCCCTGGGTCTGAGCCATCAGCATGGCTATTTCCCATGTAGAGGAATGCCAGTATCATTTTGTTCTTCCAAGTCAGAGCAACAGTGCACCAGGAGGCAGAGCTGAGCGGCACAAAAATGCCCTGGAAGGGAACTTGCAAAAAGTAGGTTTATTCTCAGCTCCAGGACAAAACTTGTGGTTGAGCCAGCTCCTTCATCTGTAAAGCAGGCATCTGTGCTCAGAAAGTCATGTGCTGGAAATGTGCAGTAGCCGCTCTGTGAAACAGACCATTTAAAAATGGACAGCTGTTCTTGGAGATAAGTCCAACATGTATACATGTATGTGTATATATACCTACCTATATACATACATATATATATTTATGTATAAATATGTATATGTCTGTATTTATGTATATATATGTATGTATACATACAGGCATGTACACATACTCACACGCAGAAATAAATTGATTCTTTGGAGGGCCAGAATCTCAGCTTGTGCTATTCTTCTCCTTCTCCTTCTCCTTCTCCTTCTTCTTTAATGAAGTGGAGTGAAAAGGCTTGGAACTGTGAAATGAATGCTCATTTCTGGCACAGGACCAGGAGGCAGAGCAGAAGGAATCTCTATCCATGTAAGGATTTAAATATCCCAGCTTTCAGGAACAAGGCTCAGAAGTTTTGAATGCAGAGGGCTGGTAGATTGCCCTGCCTCTAAAAGCAATTCCCAGGCTGCCCTTCCAGTGGGTTTCTCCAGCTGACACCTTACTGTATTAAAGCTTGCCAGATTAGGGGGAAGATAAATGGTGAGATGTACTTCAGCCTCCACAACCTCTGATACATACTTTCTTCTGCCCAGTGTAAGAGAAGCTTTTGGTAGGCTGTTAAAGAAAATGTGGGTTCACATTAGTGGCCAAAGGAAGGTCAGAGTCCCTGACATCTACTGATTTGCTCTTCCTGTGCTTAAAAACATTTACATATGGGGACAATCTGCAAAATGCCTATATGAGGCATCTTCCTTCCCCTCAACCTCTGAAAAGTTCTCTGCACAATTGGACAATTGTGCACAATCTGCCACAACTGTTTTACCACGTACCTCCACCAGTGCTGATGGGAGCTGAGTGCTTAAAATCTGGGCTTAGGTCTTTAAGAAGCCTTTGAGTAATTTACCCATCCTTTAATCAAGACCAAAACCCTTTGAAAGATCTAGAAACAACGAAAGCAAAATGCAAAACTTCATCCAGTCACTAAAATCAAAGTTAGTAACAGTGTTTGAAGGAAGAGAGCAATGCCAGATGAATATATCCAGCTGTAAACAGCACCATTGCACATAAAAGTGTATCTGGCAAAACAAACAAATGAACAAACAAACAAAACCACACAGTGGATAGAGCAGTCCCCCAGTCCTGGCATTCACAGATCAGTGTGTTTTTGTTAGAGACATTTCAATGGCAACAGAGAAGCCAGTACAGGGATTAAAGAATCAAACACATCATCACAAGCTCTTATTCCAGAGCCCAAGTTAGGAATATGGCACTGGGCTGTATGCCAAGACCCCATCACACAGTAACACTGGCCAAAGTCCTAGTTAGAGCTAACTGCAAAAGTTTAGACCAGGCAATAACCCCTAATAACATGTCTTTCTGTCAAAGCAGAAAAACCTTGTGAGAATTGTGTGGTTCTGACAAAAAACATACAGTGAAAAAGTTTTTCACTTCATTTTGGAATATTTTGTCTCATCTGTTATTTCCTGATTTTGTTTTTAATATTCTGACACTGTGGGAAAAAATATGGATTCAGTATTATTATTGGAAAATGCCATGGTTGAAAATCTCTATTTCTGAGACACTCCATTTTATAGGGAAATGGATTTTTCACAATGTACACTGCAACAAGGACCAGAGGGACTGTGGGATCACCATCCTTGCAGGTATTCAAACCTCAGCTGAACATGGCCCTGAGCAACCCCATGTAATTGTACCTGCTCAGAGCAGGGAGTTGGACTTGAGCTTCTCAGAGCCAACCTACATTATTCTGTATTCTGCGATGTAAGGAATGGGAAGAGGCTTGCTATGGCACAGGGGAATGAAAGCCTAGGAAAGATTTTTTCTCCATTTCACTCTCTTCTCCACAGAAAAGCATGAAGTGTAAAACATTAAATTTCAAAAAACTAAAAATATTCCATGGCACTGTCTCATACGGCAAAGGGTGGTGAGGTCATTTAGTCTTCCTTTTAATACAAACTTTTTTTCTTTTCAATTTAACATCAGACAGCTCCAGTTTGAAGTAAGACCTGAAGGATTTGTCCTCCCTGGGCCTGGCCTACTCTTGCAGCGGTGTGACAATGCAATCCAGGCTGAAACTTCACAGCACTTGGTGGAAGGCGCACAGCAGGGACTCACAGCAGCATCGGCTTCCCTGCCTCTGCTTTTCCCAGTTGCTTTCTCCACAGATCCAAGAAGGATTTCTTGCCTTTGCAGGAGGATCACCACATGTTCCCATTCTTTCATGTTAGAGGCAACCTCCTTCTAAGTGAATATTTATAGTGCACCCCACATGGCACCAGCTGGGAGGCATTACTCTGGATCTACGTGCTTTCACCCAGCCCAAAGAGCTATTTGTGACTTTGGGTGCCCCTTATGCCATTCATTAACTTCAAATTTAATAACCCTCAAATAGTTCCTACTTCCTCTTTACTCGTGTTTTACTGGAAAAGCAGTCGCTTCTCAGATTCCACTAACTCTCATCAAAGTAGCTAACACGATATACGTAAACACATGTATAACATAAATATATTACCATATTATTGCAGTTGTGCATTTGTGCAATTTAGTATGTATAATACACGCACACATGCATACTAGATAATGCAATGTATCCAACATGAATGCGCAAACCACCTGGCTTCCAACCAGAAAATCTTGTGATGAACAGCAACTAGTCAGTGAGCTAGCAACAGTGGTGTATTACTGCCTAACCAAGCAAAATGCACCTGGGTCCATTCCTCCTGCCCACAGGTGAGGCTGGGTCCATGGTTGCTGTGAAACCCACACAATTTCACCAGTATAAATAGTGGTCTACCAAGCAAAGCCAGCTGGGAATCCACCCAATGTGTTTGTGCCAGATGTGAGCACAGGACTGGAGACAGGAGCTAAGCACCCTGCAAGCAACACCTGGTGCCACACCACTGAGATGAATTTTCCATTTTTCTGAGTGCTTCAATATATTGACCTTGACATCCCCTTCTCTGCTGGGCCCCAGTGCTGGTTACTTGGGAGCTCATGTGCTCCTGGGGCTTGGTGCAGCAGATGGAAACGGCTGCCCACACTGCGCTGCCCCTCTGCCAGCTGCCACCGAGCTGCCAGGCCCTCCTCTCTCATAGGCACCCATCCTGTGGTGGGCCCTGCATGAAGGGTGCATGAAATATCATGATACAGTTGCCATGTTTTGGTCCTTCGCAGATTCCCTTCTTGAAGGCACTAATCTCAACAGGCTCTAGTCTAGAATTAGTCCTCTCTCTCTCTTAATAACGCCAGGTACTGTGTACTGTATATTGCAAATACTGCTTACTGTTTTCTGCTACATCCAAAGAAAATTAAACAGCACACAAACCTTTGCAGTTTGAGTGTCACAAATAATGTTACACAGCCACTTTCAAGTTCTCAGCATTTGTCATCCAGGCTGCTTGGCAGGATTTCACATTAACAATATATTATAGTTTAATATTATGCAATTAAAAAAATCAAATTTCCTCCATGAGAGAGACATTAGCACTGTAGAAAAAAGCAGTTAATGACATTGCAATCATCAGCTGTTGGGGGGTAGAATAAAGTTTGCACAGGCAACATTAAATCTGTTACCTGCTAAATCTTGAGTACTTGATTTTTGCAGTGGCAATCGTTTTCCTTTAATGTTGTTTCCTGTTATGTATTTTATTGAGCCGGAGTTTATCCCAGGCCAAAATCCCTATGGATCCCATCTCCTGTGGTTATTTCCCCTATGACGGATTGGAAATGGCTGGAAAGCATGCCTGTTTGAACTATAATTTAAAACTTCCATTTTAATTGTACCGGTGTAAAAACCTGATGGGCAGGTTTATACGTCAGGTGTGCATATGGGCACCTGGCTTCATCCAGAGAATTGCAAATGCTGAGGAGCCAAATGTTGGACCTCAAATCCTGCAAGGGCACCAGTGAGGTTCTTGGGACACTCACTAACTCATCAGCCACTGTCTCACCTGCATAGAAATCCTTACTGCACCTCTCACTTGTTAAGGCCAAGCAACAGCTTTCTCCTGCAGATCTCTGCACTAATCTACTTAGCTTAATTAAACAAATCTCCAGATTCAATTAGCAGTGATAGTTAAGACTTCTGCAGATGTTAAAGTGAATGTCCTGCTGATTTTAATGTGTGCCTGACACCAGGCGCTTCTGTAAGAATGGTTTTATCTGTTCCCTTGGTTTGCTCATTTGCCTGACCCTGGTAGGCTTGTACTCAATTAAAATGTAGCAGAGCCATCATGAGAGGAGGCAGCCCAGGAAATCGCTGCCATCACAGGGCATCTCACTGAAAGTCACCCAATTTCCATGCCCTTGCCCTCCTACCCCTGTTTAAAAGTATCACAATGACTTTCCACAGGGAAAAGGGCATCTCAGTGAGATTAAGGAAAAAAGCCTAATTCTTGACATTTGCTACTCTCAACTTCTCCAGCAATCACGGAGTCTTTCTTTGACCCTGCTCCAAAACTACTTCTGCCTCTTAATGTGGATTTCAGTGCTTCCATTTCTGCTTTCTTTTCAATATCTGCCCAAACACAGCACACATACATCAGCCCACATGCACAATCACAGGAGCGTCTTCTTAGGAGAACTTTGGTCCCCAAGAAAAGTGACAATCCCAGTTCCACATTCAGCCTGTCCAATGCAGGGAGACTGTTACATTCTTCGCCTTTACACAGTGCAAGTAATTTAGGTTGACAATTGCATAGTCTTTTTGCTGCCATGATCGCAGTGTTCTTGGTTGCAAAACCTAGTTTGCATTTGCAAAAGCTGCATGAACTGGACCCTTCTTAACAGCTGATTTTATTCCTAAATCCCATTAGAGCTTGGGGATGCACCAGTTGGTCCCAGCCACCCTGACCTCCTCCGTATTTTAGCTTGCTCCTCCACTTAATTCCACATGAGTTGCCTATGTTGGGTACTTCTGATACTTGAGAAAACAAAGCAATACCTTTCGGAACCTTCCTTCTTCTAAGGCTGTTGGGTGCAGTTACATCACAGCCATGGTCTCAGCTATTTCTTGAACAAGCCCTGCACTGAAAGCACAAAATGATGGCTGTTTATTAACGGTAGTTATAAGTGGTGTTTTACAGAGCATTTGTCCCACATTGCAATGTGTAGAGATGTGAAGTAAATTTGATCCCTGCTGTTTACAGGCTGTGCAACTGAATCATCACTGTAGGTTATTCTAAGGGCCACCATCACAGCTGCTGTTTCAGAAAAAAGAAAATAAGTCTAGAGGAATTATGCTTAAGGCCCCTATCTCAGCAGGTTCCCTCTTGGTTTTTTCCTTTAATGCTTTTTTCTTTTCTAGCTGAGGAAGTGACAGATGTTATTAAGTTTCCTTTGTGTGAGATCTCAGGGAATAATCACAGTGATTTGAGTCTCTCTTTCTCTAGTTGCCAATGCAAACATTGTTTCGCGTTTGGTTAATTAAATGGAATTATTCTAAGATCAGCATTTACCTTAAAAGCACTAAAAACTTCTTTCTGGATAAATCATAGCTATAAATACTGGAAATGCCCAACATATATTTTCCTTAGGAATACACAGTATTTGCCTCTGAGCACTTATGATGAACTTCACCTTCCAAAATGCTTCAAGAAATGCTTTCTACTCAGCTGCAGGACTCATCCTTCCTTTATTCTCCCATTGCTTCTGTCCAGAGCTGTGCAACTAATCGATTTTTCATTTCCCTGGCAGTTAAGAAAAAGAAACAATTTCCATTACTATTTTTATTTTTAACTGAAGTCCCTAAAAGTTAAAAACACATTTCACATTGGCCAATGAAGTTTAGCTGGAACAGGACTAAAAAATAGAAGTTGACAAGAATATAAATTTGCATAAAAAGTCCAACACAGTGCATTAAAAAAGGCAAGATCAACATTTTCTGAGCTGCTGTAAGCAATCTGGTGAAACGGCATAGACTCTGTAGGACATTTTCATGTCAGCTGAATCTGATTTGTTGCTTTCCCATGCTTAGGAACCAATTGCACTTTCTTCACACTACAGATTGTGGACCACTGCTCTGGCCACAGAGCCCATGTTGTACTGAGCAGAATGCATGTTCTCATAGTGTCTTGTCCTGAAGAGAGTTATTAACTGCATTGAGCAAAGACCTTGTAATTAAGAATCCGATTAGGAAAGAAGACTGGTATTGGTCTAGCTCTGCCCTCAGCAAAATCCTGCCAGCTGCAACACATTTTGAAAATCCTTTTCAGTGCTAATGCTTATGAGCTTGATATTTCACTACTTTGAGGAATGCTTAGTCCTACTCAAAACTCACACTTGAATTCTGCTTGCATTGGCCTGGGGTGTTGCTTTGTTCCTCAGACATATCCTGGACAATATCTCATAGGATTTTCATGGATTTTGCTACATGCAGACATACACAGGCTGAATAGACAGAGGTTCCTATTAAAATCATCAGCAACCAGGCCCTTACAGTACAGTAGGGCTGGCAGGGTCTAGTCTTCACATCCCAAAAAGGTTTTATAACATGAAGTTAATTGTATCTGATGTTTCAACTCCTCTGTTCTGTAGAGCTCATAATGAGAGTCTGGCAAACAATTTCTTCTGAATAATTTGTTGCATGAATTCAACCTCTTTTCCAGCTGACAAAAGCCATGAATAGACTGCAATTCCTTCAATATATTCAGTGCTGCCTGAACGAATGGAAATATATTTTTCCCCAGCTTGCCCTTCTTGGTTGGGAGGTCAGTTATAAAAACAATACTGCCAGTTCCCGGCTACTTCAGCAACATTTATCTTTGGTAGTCAACCAGTCCTAGCTGGCTACACTTACCCCAGCACAGTTTTAGCATCTGTCAGAATGTTTTAATGCCCCCTCCCTGCTGGCCTCTATCCTACAAACCAACCTGCAAGTACTAGTGATTGTCAGATAACTCCATATAACCGAGCTTGGGACACAAGTGTTCCTGCATCTGAGGCAGCCAGGTGCCTCCCACCAACACTGGGGAGACACAGAGCATTTTAGAATTTGGACAGGGATGTACAGAGGTGTTTGGCTCCACCTCCACATGTGCATTGGAAAATCCAGCAAGGCTGGCAGCTGCTGCATAGCCATCAAGACGTGGAGGCTTATCTCAGAAGGCTAGGATAAGCGGTACACACCAAGCAGCAGCTAGGGATGGGACATTGCCTGTCACATCTTATCAAGTGAGCTAGAGGCGTATTCCAGAACTGTGGAGTTCAGAGCGTTCCCCACACCATGAACAGTTTGAAGTGCAGATAGACCTGCTTTGAACACGTGGGCTGATAAGCTTCCACACTGGTTTCAATCTCAGATAGAGAAATGCTTGTTTGACAGGTTCCCTCAAATAAGTCAGGGGCTTTCCTGCCTCATTGGCCCAGCTCTGGGCACCACAATAATAAAAATTAAAAAAACATTCTGCACAGATCAGCAAACCCTCTGTCCCTGTGGAAAGCTGAGAGAGGCACAGCTGGCTGTGCCTAGCAGGAGTACTTTACTGTCAGAAAAATGCTGGTACAGGAGTCAGCATGCTGAAACCATCCCCTCCCCAACCACCCCCAGAACCCCAAACACCCATGTGATTTTCCAACGTAAGTGATCTAGATGGTAGTCCATGATTGGGTAACAGCCAGAGGTTCACACCCAGAGGGACACTGCCCTGTTTTCCCAGGCAAAGTGAACTGGGATTTCTGTGAGAACTGCTGTCTTCTGCCTGCTTTTGGGGCAATACAAAGCACAAGCAAGAAGAAGCAGTCTCAGCTTCCGGGGAGAAAGGTTCCCGACAGAGCGAGCATGTTCAAGTGGGGCTGGCTGTACTAAGCCAACACAATTCCCCCAAGTTCAGCTGCATCCACACTCTCTTAAAATAAGCCTAAAATCACAACCTCAAATCTCATGTCATCCAATCCAGCATTGAAGCATTACTTTGCTCTTAGGGTAGAAAGAGACCTGGAATTTAGTCTAAAGTTGTCTGCAAGTAAAACTTGCCAGAACTGCAAAGTCAACCCTAGCTGATGGCAGACAAGGGGTGGGGATTTTTTTTTTAGGCTATGACAGCTAATATCCAAAATAGCTTAATAACAAGTCCTGCTGGACAGAACAGGCAGGCATTTCTCCTCTCCCAGTGCACCTACCTAAGGTCAGCCTTGGGTTATAGGTAAGAATTGGATAGTCCTGCTTTGCCCTAGGATTTTTAATTCAGCCCTGGGACAGATCATCAGAGTCAGGGATCTCTATCCCTGGAGGTATTCAGAATTTGTCTAGACCTAGTGCTGGTGACAGCAGGGGGTTGGACTGGAAACCCTCAGGGTCCTTTCCCACCAGCACTGCTGGGAGGCTACAACT